GCTAGCGCTGCCCCTGCTGCTGCTGCTGCGCCCTTGGGAGCCACTTTCCCAAGCTTATGTGTATATAATAGTTATTTATTAACATCATTGGTCATTTTTTTAAAAAAAACAAAAAAGAAAAACAAACCACAGAAGACATGCATTCAAACAATCGCAGAGATGCAGGCCTTTTCGGTGGCGTGCCGGGCCCGGGGCCTGTCTGGCGGCAGGCCTGTCGTCTCCAGGTGCTAACCTCTGCCCCGCGCCGTGCCCACCCACGTCTGTCCGTGCGCTCGCCCCTGGGTTCGTTGGGTTTTTTGCTTGTTTTTCTTTGTGGGTTTTTTTTTTTTGTATGAAACTTGGAGACTTACAGGTTTAGACAGCTTTCAGCTACAGCACATTCTCATTTTTTATTTTGTTTAGTTCTTTTGTATTCACTTCTGGTCTCTTTAAGACTGTTTTAAAAGAAATCAATTTAGGGAACCCCAGTTATATAATATAAACTTTGTAATCTGAGAGAAAAAATGTATAGTAAATCTAAGTCTTGATTTTTAACTTTCTATTGTAAAAAAATAATAATATACAGAGTATAACAGAAGGTTATGTTTCGGTTTTGTTTGCCCGGAGGCTGCCATTTGGTCTTTGAGTGTGGGGATGCCCCACACTGGCCCACCAAGCTCAGAGCATGGCGGCTTCGGCCAGGAATGCCAGGGTCAGCCTCCCAGGCCTGCAGGTGGGGATGCTTCCCCCTGCCAGCCTCCAGCCACCTGTCCAGGTCCTCCTCAGCCTCTCTGCCCTCCTCAGGGGTGGAGGAGTGTCTTGGCCCCAGGAAGATTCCCTCCCGGAGACTTGTACCGTGCTCCTGCTCACGAGTTGTCACAGCCCAGAAATGCCTGAAGACAGGCATTCTCCCAGACCTCGACGTGGGGGAGTCTCCAGGGGGGCGCTGGGTGTGGAGCTGTGGTGTGGTCTGTCCTGGATGGTGGCCAGTGCTTTCTGCCAGCACTTCTGGATGGATATAGGGACTATCGTTAGTATCCTCATATGTGGTGATTTAAAAAAAAAAACCATAAAATTCATTCAGAGTCCGCCAGCCCTTACAGATCTAGGTATGCCCTTACTGTAGAGGGAACTCTGATGAGGAAATGCTGGTAAATTACCATTTTTTAAATTGCTGGTGAGTCTGACACTTGGTGAGTTTTCAGCCAGTTTGTTAAACTTTTAATTAAGTTTTGTTTATAATAAAAATATAAATGAATTTGAAAGTTTCAATTTTTTTAAAGTTACCCTTGTTTTTCAAAGGTATTTTCTAAACAGATCTTTAATGGACTATTTAAACTGAACTTAAGGGATTCACACACAGCAGCTGACAGGTCACACAGGCTGATTGGTAGCGTGCTGCCAGCACAGGGCTGGGTGATGCACACCCTAAGCCGGGGTGCCTGGGCATGTGGGGTGCTCCTTGCAGTGCCCCTCCAGCCGCAGGGCAGTGAGTCGCCTGTGCACGCTATCAGGGGAGCGGCTGGCTACAGGGGCAGAGCAGCAGGAGCATCCTGGGGCCCTTCCTTCCCAGCTGGTTCTCTGCGATGGTGGCATCGTGCTCACCTCTGCTCCTTTCGTCTAGAAGCTGCGGACCCTGTCAGCCCACCAAGGGCACACTGAGCAGCTGCATTGGTGCTGTCACTTTTTTAAGGCTTTCTGTCCAGACTTCAACACTAGTGTCTTTTCAGAGTTTTAAAGGATTGATGTCTTCCTCAACGCCCTCGCCAGTGGGCTGAGGGTGACGGCCACATCCATTTCTTCTGTATTAGAAGGCCGTGGTGATTCAATTAGATTGTCCCACTGCTGAGACCTGTAGGGCAGCTTCTAACGTGCTTTTTTCAAGGGGAAAGGAGCAGTGACAAGTTGTGTGTGGGAAATGGATTTGAGAACGCTCTGAGTGACCCCTGGAGGCTGAGGGGGCAGGCTGAGGGCGTGAACTGAACTCGACCCCTCTTCGTGTTGGGCAGCGGCATCTTGCTCACAGACTGTAAGACCTGGTTTCTTTGTGTTAGTTTCTGGTTTTGCTCTTTTGCAGCACTCACGCCTCTGACAGTCTTTTGGGAAAGAGTAACACCCCACATGAAGAATGTGTCACATCCAGTGTAGCGCTGTTCTCTAATACTGGCATAACCCTTCCAGGAAGTTTTTCTTTTTTATATTTAAAATGTTACTTTTCTGTACGATGTGCATGCAAGTTTACCGTAACTTTTCTTAAACTTTTTAGTGCCGTTTCTAGTATATTCCTGTAAATGTCAGTTACTGAAAATGAGTCCAATGTAAGTAGTTTTAGCTTGTTTATTGCAATGCTGGCCTCAACACAACAGAATAAAATGGTAGAAAGTACTCTTTGATGTTTCTGGTAATCATGGACCCTTCTCCTGGGGCATTTGTTTTGTTTTCATAATAAAAAGCAAACAAACAAGGCTGTTTTTGCATTTTCCTGTGCTTTCCGTGGGCGCTCCCAGCCTCTCTCCTGGACCCTGGAAATGTCTGGAAGCAGCTGGTCTAGAAGAGCCTTCACTGGTCCACAGTGAGGGTGGTGAGCCCACACTTGACACCTTGTAACTCCTGGCAGAAATACCCAGGGCATCCAGAAGGGGCCCAGAAAACCATTTACAGGCAGGATGCTGTGGCTTGTGCCTGTGACCCCAGCACTTAAGGAGGCCAAGGCAGGAGGATGGCCTGAGGCCAGGAGTTTGAGGCTGCAGTAAGCCATGATTGCACCACTGCACTCCAGCCTAGACAACATCACTGTTCCTTTTTTTTTTTTTTTTGAGACAGAGTCTCACTCTGTCACCAGGCTGGAGTGCAGTGGCACAATCTTGGCTTACTTCAACCTCCACCTCCTGGATTCAAGCAATTCTGCCTCAGCCTGCTGGGTAGCTGGAACTACAGGCACATCCCACCATGCTCAGCTAATTTTTGTTATCTGTAGTAGAGATGGGGTTTCACTGTGTTAGCCAGGATGGTCTTGATCTCCTGACCTGGTGATCCGCCAACCTCAGCTTGCCAAAGTGCTGGGATTACAGGCATAAGCCACCGTGCCCCAACATCTCTTTTAAAAAAATAATAACCTGAATACCAATAAGTGGAGATAAAAGAAAAAATAGTAATAACTGAACCATTAAATAGCCCTTGTCCTGAGCCCTCGCAGGATGAAGAGAGCATCATTTCTTGCCTCACTAGGAAGCTACAGTCTGCTTTACTGACAGCTGGTTCCCTAGTACAAGCTGCTCTCTTCGAGACAGCCAGGTTCTGTGCTCTTCTAGTTGACCTGGCCACTTGTCCCCTCCCTCTGCACCTCAGTCTGCCCTGAAGTGTCTTCCTGTGATTTCACTCAGTCCTAATGGACAAGTAAATAAAACCCCAAAAGCGGATGTTCATAGGGAGGTTTAACTGCCAGACTGCAGAGGCTGGCATGCAGTGAGGATCACTGAAGAATGAAGTGTCAGCTTTTCACAATTGATGGTACTGGAACTAGGCCTGGAAGAGATATTCCAGGGGAGAAGGTTCTGGTTGGGATACATCTAGGCCTGAGAACATGCCCAACCCAACCCCACACAGGGTTGGGGGCACGGCATCACTCCTGGCCAGACTATGACCCTTCTCATCCAGACCAGCCTCCTTGAGGACGGACATGGGACCTTGTCCGCCCCAGGTAGATGGTGTCTTCCTGCAGCCTAATCAGCTTAGTGCCAGCTGTCCTGTCCATGACCCACATGCCCTGACCTCTGCAGAGACTGGCCCTTGAGCACACATCCTCCCAGCTCTGCACGTGACCTCAGACTCCATCCTTGGTGTCAGCGCTGCCTCCCAGGCTTAGGGCCAAACCCGCCACAACCTGTCCTCAGGTGAGTCTGGTGCGGTGAGAAGGTGGCATACAGGGGTTCCAGATTTGCCTCTGGAGTTTGCTTTCTCCCCAGGCAGGACTTAAACTGAAGAACTGAAAAAGATGTAGACAAACCCTACCTAGCAGACGTGGAGTGCTTCCTTGATGGGCCCACCCTTACTGTAGGAATGTCAGCTGGCAGGGCAGGTCCTCCAGCCCTGAGCTCACTCCGTCTGCAGCTCCATATGGCAATCCTGGAAGTCTGACTTCAAACCTCCCAGCTAGAGGCTGCAAACAAGCCAGGAATCTCGCAGAAAAGACAGGCTGCAAAGGAAGCTGCTGCCAACCAGGCCTCTGGCAGGACATTTGGGGAATGCAGTTTGACCCAGCAGTTCCACCTCGAGGATGTTTGCAAATGAACTTGCACAGCTGCAAAGAGAAGCGTGAACAGAGAGAACAGGCACATTCAGACATGCTGTTTGCACAGATGACAACCATGACGCTGTCTCTGTGCTCATCTGTGGGCTCACAGGAGTGTTGCTAGTCAGATAATAATAAAACATGAAGCAGGCTGGGCGAGGTGGCTCACTCCTGTAATCCCAGCACTTTGGGAGGCCAAGATGGGCAGATCACCTGAGATTAGGAGTTTGAGACCAGCCTGGCCAACAAGGTGAAACCCCGTCTCTACTAAAAATACAAAAATCAGCTGGTTGTGATGGCATGCACCTGTAAGTCCAGCTACTTGGGAGGCTGAGGCAGGAGAATCACCTGGACCCAGGAGGCAGAGGTTGCAGTGAGCCGAGATTGTGCCACTGCACTCCAGCCTGGGCAATAGAGTGAGACTGTCAAAAAAAAAGCATGAAGTGAATGCCCAGACTGTACAGTTGAGCAAGAAAGAAAATGGCAGAACAAGAGGCATGGTGCAGGATGAGGCCTTCAGAATCACCTGACTGTGTGTGCACACTGATGAGCCATGGGACACGCCCCTAGCTGCCAGCCGGGCTCTCCCCAGGGAGAGCACGTTTGCTTTGCTTTATGCCTTTCTGTACTGGAGTTTTTAGCAATCAATTAGATATCACTGTTATTTAAAAAATGGGAAGCCAAGTAGGATATTACAAACAAGGATAAAAAGAATGTGAGGAAGGGGAGGTGTGTACTAAAGGATGTTTATTTGGAAAAAAATTAGCTTTGACAGAAGACACCATTTGTGTAGCCGAGCAGATGTCAGTGAGGGCAGAGGGCAAGGCCTTCATGGAGACTGCACGCACAGCTGTGGCAGCAACAGTGAACACATGACAAACACTGAATGGAGGGGAGCAGTCACCTGGAGGCACAGAGGCTGAATACTTTAAGCCTGATGGACAGCCTGCCCTGCTCAGCCTACACTGGAGATCACTGTAGGCCACACATGTGCAACTTACAACTCTCCAGTTTCCTGTGTTTTGGATGCACTGCCAGTGGGCCTCAAATGCTTGGAAGCTACCATGATGCTTCACACGTGACGATTGTTTTGGTGACTCAAAATACAAGTCAGGCTTGGTGCAGTGGCCGGTGCCTGTAATCCCAGCACTTTGGGAGGCCTGAGCCCATGACTGCAAGACCAGCCTGGGCAACACAGGGAAACCCTATCTCTATAAACACTAGTTCGCCTGTAGCCACAGCTGCCTGGGAGGCTGCAGTGAGCTGCGATGGTGTCACTGCATTCCAGCCTGGACAACAGAGTGAGACCCTGTCTCAAAAAAGCAAAAAACAAAATGTAAGTGCGACAAAGGTCCCAGTGAGATAATGCTGCTACTCGCCATGTGTGCCAAAAACAGAAGAAAACCAAAACCTTTACAAACTTGAAGAGGTGGTTTGCAGTGGGGATGGGAGGGTCACTCTTGGCTTGGTTTAAACCAAGCATCTAGCAGTGCCCAGGCCTATGCTGTCCCTAGCAGCACCTGGAGGATTCAAATGTTACAACAGCTGACCACGAGGGGACTCTACAGGTGAAGTGTCCTGTGCACCAGTCACACCGTTGCTGGGGCTCGGGAGCCGACGCTGGGCTTGAGTTCCTACACCACAGTTTGATCTTCACATTCATTATTCAAAACCTTCCAGCAAGGATTATCAGCAAGACACCTGAATTAATCCCAAGCCTGTTTTCTTCAAAGTGCGGTCCTGGGCCCAAGTTTTCACCGGAATCACATAATTGTGCAAAACTTGGACTGCCCTGTGTCCCTAGAGACCTCGAGCTTGTTTTTGTCTCGGACCAAGATGGCCTCATTTCCATACTGTGAGTACCACATGCTCCGGCTCCTGCTCAGGTATGTCCCGGGCGGCACCGACTCCAACTTCTGCTGCTGCTGCTGCCAGATGAGCACGGCGGTGTCCCTGTACCGGAGGCGGGCGTAGCCTTCAGACAAGGCCTTCTCCGCTAGGGGGGCGCGGCCACTCATCCCCTCACCTGTCCTGCTGGACTCCTGGGAACCTGCTGTTCTGAGACGGGCCACGCGTGGACAGCTGCCACACGCTGCACACTAAATTAACGGAGAGCTTTCCGAGCTTTGGGGTTTAAGGATCCCTTGTTTAACTGAATGGTAGAAATTAGGAATTCAGCCCATTTGCAGGCAGTGTCTTCAGGAGGGTTGTGTGGTGAAGAAACTTGAGGTGGCCTCGCCATTTTGAAGACACCTGAGGCCCATTCAGGGGACAGCAGGCAGATCAGAGCGGTGCCTGGCCACAGCTCTTCCAGGTGCAGCTGTGTGGAAGTGACAGGGGCAAGGCGTCACACACTGGGGGGTGATTCTGCCACCATGGCCTGGACCACTGAGCTTGAAGAAATGGATCCAGCACGCTGAGGAAGGGGCATGGTGGCCCCAGATGGAAGGTGGAAGGAGCTCCAGCGGCATGCCCTGCACGTATCTGTCCGGGCCGGCGTTCGGGGCGGCGGCTGTTCCGACCCACCCTGGGGGATCAGGCCCCACAGTCTCTTCAGGTCTCGTCTTTCCCAAGTGGTGCTGCTGAAAAGGAACGAACGTGCGGTGAGGGGAGGGGAAGCCAGGCAGGCGGCAGTCTACAGCGCAGCATCAGCCCTCTGGGGGTCAGAGGCCGAGATCGAGCTACTTACAAGCCGTGGCGCAGCCTGGGAGTTGGGCGCGGAGTGAGACGGGAGCGCAGTGCCAGCTTTCAGTCCCTGGGCGGTGCTGGGGAGGCTGCTTGTTGGAGCTTCAGAGTCTCCATCTGTGAAACAGGGGACAGCAGCGCTTGAAAGGGCGCGAACCCCCGGAAACGCCGCCAGGCGCCAGCCCCGGGACCCGCTGGGGCCGCCAGGGCCGCCTTTCTGCTCCGAGCATCCAGCTCCCGGGAGGCCCCTGGACCCAAACAAAAACCATGTCAGGAGCAAGCGAACAGGGAAGCACCGCAACCCACTTCCGAACGCCTTCCCAGCCGCGCAGCGTCAGGGATCTCCCCTCCTGGGACGGCCCCGCTAGGTCCGCCTCAGCGACCCGAGCCCCCACCGCGCGGCCCCGCCGCCAGCGCACACGCCGGGGCCCCAGTCCAGTGCCCCGGACACCGCGCGCTCAGGGTCGCCCCATCTTCCCGCCCCTACGTCCGCTCGCCTCCTCCCCCACGTCGCCCGCCCACCTCGGGAAGCTCCCGAGGCGGGGCCTTGGGCCGCGGGCAGTGTCCCCATGGCAGCGCCGCAGGCCTGGCGAGCCGAGCGCAGAGGCCGGGCAGGCGGGTGCGACGAGCCCGAGCCATCGATCGCTCCGTGAGGCCGAGCCTGGAGCTCGCTCCTTGAGGCCCGAGTGGGAGCTGGACGAGGAGAAGGAGGGGCTGGAGGAGGAGGGGCTGGATGGTGAGGGTCTGAGCGAGGAGGAGGAGGGGTTGAAGTAGGAGGAGTTGGGGAAGGAGGAGCAGGAAGAGGAGGAGCCAGAGGAGAGGGGGCTGGATGGTGAGGGGCTGGGATAGGAGGAGGAGCCAGAGGAAAAGGGGCTGGATGGTGAGGGACTGGGAGAGGAGGAGCTAGGAGAAGAGGAGCTGGAGGAGGAGGAGGAGCTGGAGGAGGAGGGGCTAGATGGTGAGGGGCTGGGAGAGGAGGAGGAGCTGGGAGAGGAGGAGGAACTGGAGGAGGAGCGGCTGGATGGTGAAGGGCTAGGAGAGGAGGAGGGAAGAGGGGCTGGGAGAGGAGGGAGGAGGGGCTGGGAGAGGAGAACGCGCTAAGAAGGTAGGTACTGAAAGAGAGAGTAAGCAGGGGCTGGAGGAAGACCTAGGGAGACCTCGAGGAACTGGAGGAGGAGGAAGAGGAGGAGTGGGGCGCCCACCATCCTGTCAGTGAGACCCCGGTGGGCTCTATGGTCTCATCGTCCTGGTGGTTTTTATATTTCTGCTTGTGTGGTTACTTTTGCCACTGCTTTTACTGTTGCTATTAACATTCTGTATTAACATTCTTGCTTCCAATAATTTATGCAATTATTTTTTAATTAGTTAAGTGTCCAGTGTACTGTCTCAAAAATAGGTCTTGAATTTCTCCATCTCACTCAACCAAGTGAGGCCTCTATACTGCTCCTTTGGACTCAACAGCCCCATGAAAGCAAGGTCAATTTCCTTCCCTCACTCCACTTCCAATCACACTCCAATAACACTCTCTTTTAGTATCTACCGTTTTCCCTTAATTTTATGGTTTTTCTCCAATGCCAATTAAGAAAACTAGCATAATGAAGCCTGGTGTGGTGGCTCACCCCCTACTTGGGAGGCTTAGGCAGGAGGATCCCTTGAGCCAGGAGTTTGAGGCTGCAGTAAGCCATGATCATGCCACTGCACTCCAGCTGGGGCGACAGAGCAAGACCTCCTCTCTAAAGAAAGCAGAACAGAAAATGAGCATAATGGACATCCAAGGAACACTAAGCCCACAACTGTGGAATGCACATTCTTGGTTGTTTTTTTTTTTTTGAGGCAGAGTCTCCCTCTATCGCCCAGGCTGGCTCAATCTTGGCTTACTGCAACCTCCACCTCCCAGAAGTGTTTCTCCTATCTCAGCCTCCTGAGTAGCTGAGACTACAGGCGCCTGTCACCAGGCCCAGCTAATTTTTGTATTGTTGGTAGAGACAGGGTTTCACCGTATTAGTCTTGAACTCCTGACCTTGTGATCTGCCCACCTCCCACATTCTTTACAAGTACAAGTACACAGGACATTTACCAAAACTGATCACATGCTGGACCATAAATCAGTTTCAACAAATTTCAAAGCATTTAAGTCTTATGTACTCTCCCAGTCTTCTGACCTAGGAGAAGACAGCAACTGAAGTTAAACTGCTTTCAAGAGACACAGAACAGGCCTGTATTCAAAGACCTGTTTAACAATTTTGCCTCTATCTGGCCGGGTGTGGTTTTCATTCTTGTGGTCCCAGCATTTTGGGAGGCCTGGGCGATCGGTCACTTGAAGTCAGGAGGTCGAGACCAGCCTGGCCAACATGGTGAAACCCTGCCTTTACCAAAAATATTAAAATGTAGCCAGGTGTAGTGGCAGGTGCCTGTAATTCCAGACACTCAGGAGGCTGAGGAGGGAGAATGTCTTGAACCCAGGAGGCAGAGGTTGCACCACTGCGCTCCATCCTGGGCAACAGAGTGAGACTCCGTCTCAAAAAAAAAATTTTTTTTTGCCTCTATCTGAGTTAATATAATTTGTTCATTTCTTCTATGCCTTGAACTAAATAATTTGAATATTTAGTTACCTGTGAGCTTCCTTTCCTGTTGTCGTCAAAACTAGATAGGGCTTATATTTCTGTTCGAAACATTACTAATTCTTCATGTTTTGTCTTCCAGAGTCAAAAAAACTGTTTTCCTTTTGAGCTATTGATAGCTACAAAAATTAAGTGAAAAACGAAGATTATCTCTCTCTTTCTACCTTATATCTCCAGAATCTGAAAATGATTTGAAATCCCTTTGGGCCCAATCTGATTTGATATCAAGCACCCTCCCTCTAGGCCCAGGGACGATTGCAGAAGAGGTAAACGCATGAGGAGGTAAGAGCTGGTTTCGAGGGATAAAGTTTGTTTGGACCCTCTGAATCAGAGGCAGTTCACAAATACCCGAATAGCTGTCAGCTCAATACATAAAACTTACAGGTAAGTCAATTTTGTAACTTTGCTTTTTGGAGTTTGGTCTTTAGCTCTTATGTTGCATAAAAGGTTGTTTGTTTATTTATTTATTTATTTTTGAGACGGAGTTTTGCCCTTTTGCCCAGGCTGGAGTGCAATGACGGAATCTTGGCTCACTGCAACCTCTGCCTCCCGGTTCAAGCGATTCTCCTGCCTCAGCCTTCCAAGTAGCTGGGATTACAGGTGCATGGCACCATGCCTGGCTAATTTTGTATTTTTAGTACAGAGGGTGTTTCACCATGTTGGTCAGGCTGGTCTCAAACTCCTGACCTCAGGTGATCAGCCTGCCTCAGCCTCTCAAAGTGCTGGGATTACAGGCGTGAGCCACTGTACTCAGCCTGCACACAGGTTTTTAAAGTTAACGAGTGCCTGCCCATCTCCTTTCTTGTCTGTCCTAAAACAATTAACTGTCTTTAAATCTTTTGGCTCTAAGTAACTTGGCCATAGGGGTCCCACCAAGGGATAAGATGGACCCAGCTCACGTAGCATACCACCCCAGTAGCTATATGGGACAAAATAAAAGTTTGGCCATTGATGCTATCTCTGGCAAATCTTGGCCAAAAGACGGGAATATGACCTAAAATAAAATCCCAAACTCCTCAGTGACTGAACGGATCCCCTCTTGGCCAAGGGGACCTCAGAAAAAGCTTAAAACTGAGTTCCTAGCCATGATGGGATGTGAGGTCCAACTCCCATTGTTATAACCCCTCCCTTTTGTGACTTAGATACAAGTCACTAGCATTCATGTTAAAATAGAGATTATAAGACTGAAACAGCAGACTTCTTATGGCGATAAGATACCAAATTAGAAAATAAGACCTGTGGCTGGGCACAGTGGCTGACACCTGTAATCCCCGCACTTTGAGAGGCTGCTGCGGGCAGATCACTTGAGGTTGGGAGTTCAAGACCAGCTGGCTAACATGGTGAAACCCCGTCTCTACTAAAAATACCAAAATTAGCCAGGTGAGGTGGTGCATGCCTGTAATCACAGCTACTCGTGAGGCTGAGGCAGGAGAATCGCTTGAACATGGGAGGCGCAGGTTGCAGTGAGCCGAGATCATGCACTCCAGCCTGGGCAACACAGCAAGACTCCATCTCAAAAAAAAAAAAAAAAAAAAAGTCCTGGCTAAATTTTGTATTTTTTTTTTTTGAGACAGACTCTTGCTCCCAAAAGCCAGGCTGGAATGCAGTGGTACCTTGTAGGGCTGTTGGGCCCCACAGGGTTGTGGGGTGTCCCTTATGCTGTGCTGAAGTGTAGGACCTGAGAATTAAAGAAACAGGACACTGAAGAACTGGAGAAGAGCAGCTGGACTCGGTGGCTACGCCACCTATGAGCGGAGACAGGTGAGGCCCCGAATGCGCAGAATCGTCTGTATTTATTAGGTACAGGCAGGAGGAAGGGTCGTAAGTGAGGTCATCATCTATAGGCTTAGTGATAGGGCATAAATAATCACATGAGTCTCAAGTGAGGAGGCCACCCCACTATGCCACCTGGGCAGAGAGGTGGGCCGTGTGCTGTAGGGGGCTGTGCCGTGTGCAGTAGTAGAGGACCATGTACAGAAAAGGGGGTCACTCCCATTAGGTCACGGAGGCAAGGAGGTGGGCTGTGTGCAGCAGGTGTCATGCACAACACTGCTTATCTTGGGGCTGGAAACTTCAAAGGATTTCTAATGGAAGGATACTATAAGCCAATGCAGTGGGAGCTGACAGACTTGTGCTCTTCTCTTAAGATATTTATGGGAGGATTCTTTGAGCTAGCACAGAAGCAAGAAAAGACTGACAGGGTGTATAGCCACCATGGCTGGTCACACCAGAGGGGTTCTTCTCCCTTGGTTATTTGTGGGATCTCAGGCATGAGGCCTACCTTCCACAGGTACTGGATGCAAGGTACCACAACTCCTTTTTCACGAGGAGAGGCTCTTGCTCCAAGCCTGCCATACAGTGTATACCCTTTCAGGCAGGGACACAACCACCTGGGTCTTTGATTCTTGTCCTGGTCTGGCTATTTTCCCATATACTGCTTCTGTTCTGTGACTGCTCTAGGTATTCCTCCTACTGCAAACTACTATATGGTTATATGGAAGGATTCTATAAATCAGCACTAAATGTGTCAGTACAGCTCTGACTACATCCGTTATATGATTATATAGAAAGAGTATGCGGAACTAAGTGTGCTAGATGTGAGAACTAAGTGTGTTTATACGAGGCAGATAGGAGTAAGCAGTGTGTTTTACTTCAGGCACTCATCGTGCCTGGGGTCTGCACAGTCACCTTCCTCGGTGACCATGCGGGTTGTTACCCACACCAAGTAGCTGGGATTACAGGCATGCACCATGTCCAGCTAATTTTCGTATATATATATTTTTTAGATGGGGCTTCTCTATGTTGCTCAGGCTGGTCTTGAATTCCCGACATCAGGTGATCTGCCTACCTTGGCCTCCCAAAGTGTTGGGATTATAGGCGTGAGCCACCGTGCCTGGCCTAAAATTTTTAAACCTTTAAAAATATACCTTTTGAGAGTGAAAAGGGAAGCCACAGAATGTGAGGAGAAATTTGCAAAACACATGATTGATATGGAGCTTCTATTAGTCAGGGTTTGTTTGAAAGAGGGAAGCCACGCCAATCACTGGAACAGACAAAAGTAAATATAAGGAACTGTTCACTAAGTACAAAGTTGTTAAGTTCAGAAGAAACAAATTAAAATATCCTAATGGGAGCACCTGCAGGAAGCAACTAGCACCACCCCTAGGGAAAAGGGACAAAGGAAGAGATTGGAATGATTAAAGCCTGGATGCTTAGAGGAGGGACCCCATGGAGCTGCCAGAAGTGTCCAAACCAGAGTGACTCCATCTTGAATGGGAGAAAAATACAGTGAGACTTACTGGGTCCCATTCCCAGGAGGTGAAGCACTCTTGGTCATAAGACGTTTATGGCTGAGGGAACAAGTTAATGATGCTTACTAACTAAACAGACCCAGGACTTCAGGAAATCCTCTGTTTTTCCGATATCTTAAAAACAAAAACTTCCTTAGTTTAAGAATAGGTTTCGGCTGGGCAGGCACAAACTTACAGCTCAGGCCTGTAATCCCAGCACTTTGGGAGGCCACGGTGGGTGGATCACCTGAATCC